ATAACCATGAAAGTAAAAGTTATTTTTTATAAAAAAATGAATGATTTCATAAAATATACATATTTCATATAAAAAATAATTGTTTTAACAAATTTAACATTTTCGAACTGAATTCTTTTTGAACAATCATCAGAGTTCGAAAAATATAGTATATATTTAAATTGAAGAAAGCTCTCATTACTGCCTCTCTTATACTGCTTGCAAAGCTCATAAGCATACATTTCAAATTTCCAGTGTTCTTATATCAATCAATAAGTTTTTCTCGAGAGATAATTCCACATTGACTCTTATGTATATATATATGTATGTAGGTTATGTTAGGTTTAACTTGCATGCTTAAGCCACGCATAGACCAGTTTTGCGATACTTTTAATATATATAAATATAATTTATTTCAAAATAAAGCGCGAAAACTTCACTGAAAAATTCAACAGAAATATGAAGTTCACACTTTAAGGATTTTTTTTTTACAAAATTAGTCAAAGATTCGTATATGATAGAAAAGTTGCTTTTTGAAAACAAAATCTGGTCTTTTTATGACACTCAATTATAATCTCTAATATAAATGTAGGTATTTTCGAATTATTTTACAAAAATATCCCATTAAAAAACTTAAGGTTATGTTCGAAAAAAAAAAATTTAAAACAAATTTCGCATTAACCTTATATCACAAATTCTATGCAAGTTTTAAAAAATTGGACTAATTTTTTTTTTTAATAACTTTGCGATAACAACTAACCGAATTACTAAAAAATAGCAGCAAATCGTCACCAGAAATGCAAAGCAACTTATCATCAAAAAAATTCAAAAAATCAGTTTTTAATTTCTTACGATTCACTACATCATATTACGATATTAGAGTACGATTTTAGCTTCCACTCTCTGATATAACCAATATGTAACCATTTTATAACTAGAACCCCAATTTTGATTCAATATGAGTGGTTCTATTATATCGCTTATTCATCACCTGCAAACTTAGGGAAAGTGATGTTGCATTATTTTTCATTTAAAGTTCCTTTACAAATAATTTTCACAACTTTCTTGACTCAATTTTGTTACTCTAATTTTATCAAACTAACCACATTAATTTATATCTGTAATCATTTCTACATAATTAAATAGCTAATCCAAACCACTGTGCGCTGCTTCCAAACATCGCTTGAGTTTAGCCTGCTTTTGGGCGGCACGCCTAGCACATGAATAAATGTTACATGCCAAACATATGGACATAAAATAAATCTTTCATTCAATTTTGGTGCTCAGCTGCTGCTATGAGTGTGCTATTTCCAAACAAAAAATCTTGCAACACAATTCCGGTGTACATATGTATGCATGTAAACATATAAGTTTCCAATGGCACACTACAAATTGACACTGAACAAATTTGTTTTTGGAATTTTTGGTATTTTATACACAAATTTCTTACACTTTTTGACTGTTGATTTTAATTGAGCATCTTTTATCTTTTTCTATAGAGCGCAGAAGTATTGTGGTTAGCGTTGGAAAAGAAAGCATTAGATTTTTTTATAAAACCAATAGTGTTTTATATACAGTTTAGAGTATATATTAATATATATTAGAATATAAATAATGCTAGAAGTAACACAATTATAAAAATATTTGACGAATAGAAAAAAATAATGGTTAATATAATATACATAAGCTAATAAATAAATATTGTAATAAAGTATTCCTAACCAGTAATGTGTGAAAATCAAATTTTTCCCCTAACAATGCTTTGAGAAAAGAAAAAAATCAAGAAGTTGTCAAGTAATCAGTACTAGTTGTACTGAAGAGGATGAACTGTCAAACACTGCCAGTGTGACGTCAGCGAAACAAGACATTGCGTCAAATACACTAAGAATCAATTCAGTAAAAATCAAAGTGTTCCACTATTTGTGCTTCTTATTGATTTTTATCTTTCATTCTTCCTTCAATAAAAAATATATGTCTATTTTGTGAGTTTGTCAATGTTTTGAAATCTTTATAAAGACCTTTTTGCTAATTTTGCTGATAAATATATGATATATATGAATATATATGAAAAATACCTCAGAGCAGAGATTAGAAGCTTGACTCTATTTAAAGATGTACTTTTCTAGACCTAGGTCTAACACGGAAAAATGTATGGAATATAGAAAGAAATATTTTCAAAGAATATTATCGCGACATTTCAGATTTGACAAACTTGTACTAAACTTCTAGATGTGATCTTTTGTCTAACCAAAAATATAACTGAAAATAACTATAACTAAAAATATTATTTCCTCTTATGTAACTAATATAATACGTATTTAGCAAAAAAAAAAAACAAAAAAAAAAACCATCTTCCAACTCACCTCCTTCTCTTCTTCCTCCAATGTGAATTCCTTCTTCTTAACAACCTTAAGTTGATTACGGAAGTTGAATTCGGCGGCCTTCTTTTGGAGCTTGGCGAATTTGTTTTCATATTTGGAGACCTTCTTCAAGGCTGGTTTCACGCTAAAAGTTGAAAAGAGAACAATAAAACGGTATTAATAAAATACAGATTTTTCAATTGAGACTAAACTATTTAATTTGTACAGGCTCTAACAAAATCCTAGATTAGCTGGAGAATGTTTTTAGGTAACGTAGCCAAAATTTGTCTTGAGTTAAGCGGAGTGGCTGGGATTGATATTAAGCGCCTTCATAAATTTGCATTAAGCTCAGAATGCTTTGTCGATCTAACTATGAGGAATAGGCGAGCAATTTTTAAGAGTTTATGAGTAACACGAGAGATAAATAACTGCCCAAGCGAGATCCATTGATTTCAGATCAAGCCTACGACCTAGCCTAATCCAGCAGAGTAATGCAGTACTCATATATGGGTAAATGATATTTCAAAAAAATGCGTTTTTCTAAGTTGATAGGACTGTCATTTAAATGCCTAATGCCAAATGCCAAAGGCCAGCGTTATCTGTCAACCAGTTATAAAAATATCAAACAAAGCATTCGCCTCAAATTTTGCATTTATAACAAAATTTGGAGCGAAATCGTTGCGAATGGTGAAAAAGGCTTATGGCGATTCAGTTTTATCAAAAACACAAGCCTGCGAATGATTTTGATGGATATTTTGGGTATGAAACGCGTTCTTTCTCACCTCGTCCCGAGAAAGCTGAATTTTTTTTCAAAAAAAGTACGACTTTGACCGATTTTAAAGCCAAAAACACAATGAATACCACGATCAACTACTTTATTCACCTGTCTTAGCTCTGTCTGGGCTGAAGGCTATCCCAAAAAGTGCTTACAAAATGTGTTTCGAGGTCTGAACTTTCTGGTAGAGATTTCTTTGAAGGCGACAGTAAAATATTGATAAATAAGTGAATAGTTTGCATTTTATTTACAATTTCCGGATACTTTTTTGATTCAGCTTGTCTGTCTCACTTCCACTTATCAAGTTGCGTATCGAACAAACAACAGGTTTAAATGTAACAGGCTGTTATAATTGTATTATAAATTTTCGAGTGAATAAGGTAGATTAATCCATAATAATCAATTGGGTTTCTAAGGATTTTAAGAAAACTATTTTTTAATGAATAAATTTTAAGTTTAAACTAATTAGTATACAATAACTGACCGACAGACAGTTTTTCTTAAACGTTCTATAGTGTATATATTCAGACAAAATTTGTGTCATCACTCATTCTGCACTAAATGGATCTATAGATCAATCAATAACTTTTTATAGAATAATAGCAAGTACTGCTATGTCTGTCATAATTTTCTATATTAAAAAATCAGCAAAAATAGATTGTGTAATTAAAGATACTTACAACTTGCCACGCAGATCGTTGACTTGGGCATTGAGATCGTTGATCTATAGTAAATAGTAGATTCCATAACATCAATCAATAAGAGAAAGAGCAGCCAAACAATATTCGTAGGTGGAAAAATTGGGAAAAAAATAAATCATTAATATCATATTTCGAAGACTAGAAAAAATATATAAAAGCACTTTGCTAGCTAAACTTAGTAAGAAGGATTATATCAAATAAATAATATTTTGTTAGACGTTTTTTTCAAAGAAGAGTACAATACGGATTAGTTACATAACAAACATAGGTGCATACATACATTTTCAGCTTTTTAGCTTTGTATTAATTTTTTAGAATTTTTTTATTATACTTTTCAATTAATTTTTTTATTTGTTTAACAAATAGTACTTAAAGGCGCTTTTTACAACGTAGCTGAAGCCTGCAAGATACACAACAGCATTTCCGGCTATAAGACGGTGTTTCCGTACAGCTTTGGATTTTAGTAAATTTCATTGCAGAAGTAGGCGGAGAGAGAAAGAGATAGACAGCACTTTGTAAATTTGAAAATTTTTGTTGTTATTTCGATAAGATCTTCCAAGTTTTTTGCCGTTTAAGTTGGTTAGCACGCTTGAGTTTAATTTTATTAATTTTTAATATTTCTCAATGATTATGCTTATGTGATAGAAAAGTATGAGCTTTTTTTTTAGTTTAGAATCGTTATAGCTGATTCTTTGCTGGGATCGTCAGTAGTAAAGAGTTACTTTACAAATGTATAGTTCGAAATTAAGAATTAAATTAATAGTTTCGAGTTATTTTTTAGAAAGCATCTGAACAACATAACATCCAAATGTCGATTTTTTCGCTTTTCAAATTTCTTTTGACGGGCATCGAGTTGTTTACTCTGCCTCTGACGTACTATATATACTGGCTTGCAGTGAGAGGTGCAACTTAATTTTTTTTTTTTGCTGAAATAAGTTGGCGTTTTAGCTTTTGGGTTGAGATTCAGAATAAACATGTTTTGATATTTGAAATTTTTTGTTCGAATTTTTGTAAAATTTTTTGCTAATAACTTTTTTAATATTTAAAAGTTATTTTTAAGTTAATTGTTTGCCAATAACTTTTTTTAATATTAAAAATTATTTTAAGCCAAACGGTTATACTTGATTTTTCCCAATATTGTATTTTATTATTATTTTTTATATTTGTGCTAAACCGACACACTGTACTAGTTGTAGTTAGTTGTTGTTAGTTGTAGTAGCAAGTGAGCATGCAACGCAAGTGAAAGCGAGAACAGTGCATATTTTTGGGTTTTCGTAAGAATATATAAATTTAAAAATTATGATTGTTTTAATATTTTTACTTTTAATTCTGTTTTAGCTTGCCAATCACTTAATTAAACGCTTCTCATCAGCAAATTTGCTTACTCCAAACCGCTTCACCATTACTCTTCATAAGTTTTCAAAAAATACGCTTCTCCATAACCTATAAGACCTTTCGCTTTTTGGGCACTTTTAAGTTGAATTACAAATAATCTAACTGAGGTACTGCACAGTATGGCACACAATTTGTGTTTTACATAATTTTTTTTCGATTGATATATATGTATTATATGTGGTATAGCTATATTTCTGACGACAAATACGAAATAAGACAGAAAATACTTCGTTACAAAAAAAATGTAACTGCATGAGTGTTTTGAAAGTATAAGAAATAAAAAATTGTATTAAAAATGTTTGTGTTTTTTATTTGTTGTAAATAAATTAAATGTAAATGGATAAGACTAATAAAAAATATGCGATATTAAAGGGGAAAAAATGCTAGAAATGTACTTCTCAGTTAGTTGTACGTATGTATACAATTAAAGCAGGGTGTATGGTAAATTAAAATGCAGCAGACGATGAAAACTAAACTCACGATAATAACTGTAATAAATTAAATCACTGAGAAGAACTGTTAAGGCGAGATTTAAAATGTAAGAGAAAAACGCTGTAGTACTAACGAGTGCTAACAGAGAGAGAGAGAGAGAGAGAGAGACAAGTGAAAGAGAGTGGAGAAAATATTGTAATAATGTGTGAGAGAGAGATGGGTATAAAGATAGTTTTTTTATTTCAATTTAGAAAATATGGCATGCCGCTCTGAAAAAGTGTTTTCGGAAAGTAAAAGAAAAAATATAAATTTTTTCACTGTGTGTTATATTTTTAATTTTATTTTTTATTCTCAGTTTTGTAAAACTTTATTGGTTGCAAAATATAAAATAAAATTAGCTATGTGTTCATGTATTGAAAGATCAATGGGACATTTTTTAAATTATATAAGGAAGGTTTTTGCCACAGACAACTTGGTATTGCTAGGCTCATGGTGGTAAGAACTGCGGATTGGTACGAAGAGCAAACTACCGCTTAAAGATTTAAATTTGTGCCGACTACGTGTTTAGCTTTATTTTCGTGTACCCTTAACTCTCATATGAACTGTTTCAACTTGTCATTTGAGCTTAAAAAATAGCAAATCACGAAAAACACAAATTATAATTGATGTGAAGCAATCAATGCTTACAAAAAATATACAAAAATGTACAAAAATTTTCTGAAATGCCTACCAAAGGTGAGATAGTATGACAGAGAGAGAGAGATAGGGGGAGAAAAATGATAAGAGAGTAAAAGAAATACAAACTAGGAGCATTAAGCCGCTTGAGAGCTACTCATAGGAGCATATAAGAAAATGCGTAATGGAGTTGAGGAAGTTCATTTTCGAGTTTGGTTAGCGATAGAAATGGGTAACACATTTATTTGTATGAATTTAGATATAGTTTTAGTATTTAGTTGTACATCAAGCTATGCAATTTTTGTGTATGAGACGTTTTTTATAACAAAAAGAATATTTATTATTTTTGTAACTCGAATTGGTGGCAGCATTGTTAAAACATTATTTTTGCGTATTTGTGTGCGTTGATTTTTATACTAAACGGAATCCACAATGATACAAAAAAAACAAATTATGACTGATTAATAGCGATAAATTGCTAAATTCACAAAATTCAACTCTAAGCAATTCGCTACTTTTCTTATTTTTTGTTTCGTAAGTCATACACTTTGAAAAAATTTGCTGTGCTTATATATTTTTTAAATAATAAATATGGTTAGCAGTGTTGCATTTCGCTGCTATACTGTTATGTTTATAAATTGAATGTGCCATACTGATGCTGATTATAGTTATTGCTCGAATTTCTCATGTGAATTTACAAAATTTTTTTTTTTTTTGTTGATTTTTTTATTTTTCATTTTTGCTTTGCTTCATAACCTGCGCGAATTTCTTCAACAAATATTCAGCTACAAAATCGACATTTTGTTTTTGCAATTTATGTTGTGCGCGTGTTCAGAACACTTTCATTTAAATACTCGCATGTTTATATGAGTTTTGACATAACGTTCGAATTTTCGCATGTCACAGGCGGCGTGAGATGCTTCACATTTCGCACGAATTCATCGATGGCATAGTTTCATCAATATAATTTTGTTATTCAATGCTTTGGTGCATTTTTGTGGATGCTATGTAGATTATATTTGAATTTGAACGCGCTTGCATTTCGAATACTATTTGCAGATGCTGTTGTTATTGTTGTTGTTTTAGCGCATTTGTTTAGACTTTTATTACGGTTTGCTTGGCTACAATAGTGGGGGTGTGGGTGGTGGTACTTGGTACTGGTGCAGTTGAACATAAAAAGTGAAGGGAGTGAGCGTGCTACAGATAGTATAGACAGAGAGCTGGAGGGCTGGAGTGCTGGTATTTTGTTTTTTGGTTTCAGTGTACTGTAATGGCAACAGTATGCCGTTATAATAATGTTTCAGCGCTTTAACGGTACTGGTGGCGTTACGCAGTGTGGAAGGTAACAATTTTTGGCATGGAATGTATATTTTGGGAGGGCGTGTGGGCAAATACGTGTGCGGAGCGGGAGCAACAGTGCATGTGTGTGTGTGTTGAAACGAACACAGGCGCCAAGAAGTATGCTCGCGAACTACTAGCGACATGTTGGGTTGCTTTTTAGTAACTACATTTTTAGCATATTTTTAACAAAATGTTTAAATAATTTTTTTTTGTATTTTTTTTTTGCAGGTTTTAGACAAGTGTTGGGTAGAACAAATAAAAAACACAAAACATAATTAATTTCACTTGCTTGCGTTTTAAATAAACAGAAATATTCAAATAATTTTTTAATTAAGAAAAAAATTGTTTGTACGTGTGTGCAATGATCATTGTGGAGTTGCAAAATAAAAATACAATTACAGTTATAACAAGTTTTTTTCTACTAAAAAGAGTAAAGAATGTGCAAATTTTAAACCTAGCGGTTGTTTTTGACAAAGTATTGGTGTTTGTGGGAGGTGATCAACGATGAGTACGAGCGTAAAGTGCCAGTGAGATCATGTGAACTAGAAGAGCGAGCAGCGAAACTACCCACAGGTCAGAGGTGATATGTCTAAAAGCTAATGCTAGCATTTTATTTATTTACACAGGTTGAAATGTACGCTAAGGCGACTAAATATGCGTGCTCTAAACGCGCATTGTCTACAGTGTGGACGATGAAAGTTGTCAAACTTGCTTAGGCTAAGCACATAGTGGCGCAGCGTTGAATGATGGGAGAAGAAAAGTGGCGCAGACAAATAAAAACAACATAATAACAATGAAGTGTAAGAGCGAAAAGGCGAATAGACGAAAAGGCGCTACAATGCATATTTTGTCGCCAGCGCTACCTGGCTGCACAATGTGTGCTTTAACTACAGCTTGCAATGTGAGTGCTTGATGCACGACTATGACTGACTTTGTGGTAAATATTTTTTATTTTATTAATTTTTTTTTTTTTTTTGAAGAAATTGTGTAATTTATTTTCTATGAGAAATAAATTTAATTTTCAATCATCAATAATGCGACTTTTTATGCTTTGTGTGAATGTAGTGTGAACGATTTTATGTATTTTATCTTATTGTTGTCACAAACTTTACACTTTTTTTACGAATAACCGCATAAAAAGGAAAATTAAACAAGAATTACAAATTTCCAACGCAATTAA